ACCTGTTTTCTAGACATGCCAAGCCACACATAGTGTAAATAACAAAAAAAACAACATGGGGCCACAATGTGGGAGGGAGAAGGCTGCACAAGTTCGACGTGTCTGCAATTAAGAGATTGAACAGATGTGTTTATTGAAAACATTGCAGAAACCAGATCTACCCTATGAGTCTTAAAAGAGAAGTAAGGTCAAACCTTTTTTGTTGGCTTTACTTCTCTTTTGGGTCACAGTAGTACATTTACTATTGTTCTCCTGTGACCCAAAGTCATCATATAGTGGGCTATTTCCTTCTATATGCTGGCAGCTCAAAGCCGCGTCACAACCTCTGAAGGATCCTGGGAATATTGGCACGATCCATCTGGCTGTCTAATTGGCAGCTGGCTTTGCCTCTCTAGAGCCAGAACCAGCTGTGCCCGCCCCCTTACATGTCTGTCCCTCCAATAAGCACTACAGGAAAAGAGAAGGGGAGCCGTGACTGACAGTCAGGGAAGTGGCCATGATCAATCAGCAGTTACATGAGCGTTCAGCTCTCGGTATATAGAGCCGGCGTGTGACAGCTACAGTGTCCTATGCCAGCTCTAATTATTGGGGAAAGTATATTTTATTCCTCAATACTTCTCCTTTAATACAATAGGGTGATACTGATTATTTTAGAAGATTTTAGTGGTTCCTTGATCAACTTTAATTAGAGCTAGCCATACATGGTTACATTTTTCTTGTTCAACCCTGTGGGAAAAGTCACCCGATTCCCCCATCCATGCTAAAATGTGTATATGGAGGATTCTCCATGCAATATACTTATCTTGTTGTTACAATCACTATCCCTCAATTATGGAATCCGAACACTGCTCCCTCTTTAAGTGAGAGTATGATTGATTTATTCTTTAACTGTCAATTGTAAGGAAAATGTTTGAGATCTGTATAAAAATGTTATCAATTCTCAGTGGATTGAGCTGATTTGTTGAAGTTTCATGAGACAAGCATCTATAAAAAAACGTAAAATTAATTTAGGCCTTGTTCACACCAAATGCAGACCAGATCCGGTCAGGTTTCTGCACACGCAGTGTAGTGGGTTGTGCCGCGTTTTGGATGCGTTTTTGATGCGTTTAGGGCCGGTTTTGTTAAAAAAAACACGTTTTAGATGCGTTTTTGCGTTTTAGATGCGTTTTTGATGCGTTCCAGATCCAGAGCAGGTAAAATAGGGCTTGCTGCATTTTTTTCATCCGGTCTGGATCTGGTCTTGATCCGCACGCTGCGATGTGAACTGGAGCTCGAAATACCATAGGAATACATTGGACGCAGTTTTGATCCGGTCTGCACCTGCTCTGGTCCGGATTTGCTCCGCGCTTGGTGTGAACAAGGCCTTAGTCTTAAATGTTATTTTATTATTATTATTATATTATTCTGGCTGCTTATGGGTTTCATTGTTTATTTCCTGCTGTTACAATAATATTATTCTATACATGTTATTCCATTCAGTATTTATTATTATCATCATCATCAAATATATTTATAACAAATCTACTACCATTTAAAGATAATAAATAAATGTATGAAATAAATGTAATCACAGTACCCGAGCCAAGCAAGTGAAACACTGAAAATGTATCTCTGTTTGGTAACAAGTACTGTTAATTTGTTGTATTTATTTTTACATTGACCTTTTCTGAATATTAGGCTATTATTATACAGGATTTATATAGCGCCAGCAGTTTGCGCAGCGCTTTACAATATAGGGCAGACATTACAATCACAATACAATTCAAGACAAGATGGTAAGGAGGGGCCCTACCCCTGAGGGCTTACAATCTATTATTACATGGACGGCCCTTTGAAAAGCGTTCCATGGTGGATCCCTTTTTAAGGGGCGTTGGAGCAGCGGTTGCCCAGTGTTCATGAGACGATACTGCTGTCTGATGAAGGCAGTTTTTTTTTTTTTTTTATCCCAATAGGGATTCTCTACTCCAATACTGCACCGCAGCCGCATACCCATGCAGTTGCGACGCGGTCCAATTCATTGCAATCATTAAGGATGACAAGCGACACTGTCTGCCATGCTGTGTATTTTTTTACCATGATGCAAAGCATTGCTGCCGTGTCAATGTGTAGAGCACTATTTGTCTGACATTGCAGCAGGTGATTGGGGGGCTGGTAAGACCTCCGGTCAACCGCCTTGTTTTACCGGCCCCTTGCTGTCTGTGTGAATGAGGCCTAAGTTTTTAACTGGCTGATATAAAAATAACTGCTTCAATAAAAACCTGAGGCTAATGTATAGGCAAAAAAAAAAAAAAGCCAACACTAGGAAGCAATAAGTCTCTGTTGCATGTACAGTACATGTGCTGACACTGAACATGCTGTCAGAACAAGAGAGCAGAGATGATAGCTTATCAGTGTTTTGCTGCTGCTCCTATATCCAATCAGCAGATTGTGAAAAGGAAAGTGTTCTGTAAAGCCCAGCTCCAGTCGAAGCTTTGTATTTAGTTTTGGACAGTGTAGGGATGGCTAAGAACCTCTGTAGGGATGATTTATTGCTGTCTTTGTCCCTATTCGGGAGATGTCCCCTTACTTTCTGTCCTCTGTATACAGACAGCAACAAAAAGCCCAGTTATTTATTAGAAATGGAGAACATCTGCCAGGTTTTTATTGCTGCTATTATGCAACTTTTTGTATTGGTATTTATTTAGGGGGATTGAGGAGCTAATAGTTTTATTTTAGTATAAAGTGTTTCAGCAAAAGATCTGCCACATTGGTGTCTGATAGATGTAAGCTGCTATAATGATTATGGAGGCTCATCACTTCTGCGGAGACGTCTCTTTAGCTGCAGTGAGGAGGGGAGATGATGTTCTAAACGTCTCATAGCTGAACAGTGAAAAGTGGCCTTTCAAGTCAATGCCATATAAAATATCACCTTCCCTGCTTCACTACCCCAGGCATGGCGATGGAGGACTAAAACAGGTGCAATGTCGAGAGGAAGAAGAATGACTTCCTCCGTCACAAATCGGCAGACCCGGTAAAATAAATATATATATTTTTTTTAAATTAGTTTTTATGGAAATTTCTGGGAAAGGAGTGTGGCAAATGGTGCTTTAAATGGGCACTAGTCCCTGATCTCCCACGTACGGGCCCTAGTTCCTGATCTCCCACGTACGGGCCCTAGTTCCTGATCTCCCACATATACGAGGGCCCTAAGAATGGAGTGTGGCAAATTGCGGTGGGAGGGATTTAGACCCCATTCACATCTATATGTTTAGGTGCGATTAGGGATTCCTGCGTCAGGAACTTGTGTTTTCCTGCAACAGGTATTCTTAATCTGTCATTTACAAACGGCAGCTGTCATCCGTTCAAGTTAAAGGAGAACTATGAGGTGAGTGCTTTTCACTCAACTCGTAGTTCTAGCCGACCTGTGACAATGAGACTGTCACAGGTCGGCTCAGTAGATCGGGAAGTGAGCGAACACATACCGGGTTCGCTCACCTCTCGATCCTGTCACGGCTCTCTGCCGTGACAGTGGAGGGGCTGGATTCCCCCCTCCGCGCTCCGATCCACCAGCGCTGACTGGTGGAACGGACGGGGAGGGGGCGGGTACAGCTGGCTCTGCCTCTAGATAGGCAGAGCCAGCTGTCACTCACCCAGCTGGGCGGATCCAGACATAATTGTCGTGATCCGCTTCAGCTGCGGTGTCTCGGTATACTGCGAGCTGTAGCTCGCGGTATACTGCGGCATCTCAGTATACTGCGAGCTGTAGCTCGCTTTATACTGAGCTTAGGGTGACGGGAGGACGCTAGTTTGTGTCCTCCCGTTACCCTAAGGAGAACTATGGGGAAAAACACTGACCCCGTAGTTCTCCTTTAATGATCAGGTGATAGCCACTGTATTTAAATGCCGGCACACCGCATGTAATCGTATGTGACACGATTACATGTGGTTTCAGAATCAGTCACTCTCACTGGGCGCGCACTCAATGAAAAACGCACTTTCTTGATGCAGGTGTGAATGGGGCTTTACAGAATAGCTCCTGAGTCTACAGAGACTGTCACTGGAATGATGGATAGGTGTGAGCCTGGTGCACGTATCTCAGTAGAAAGGCATCATGGCACACTCACAAACTAGCATGTAAAACAACTTGTCTCACCACTAAGGACAATGACAGAGGTTTGGATACACGTCTTCTGCAAAGGATGTGTAAGCCGCACTGCCGCGCCAAGGCACCTCTTATAGTGCGGTCCTAACTCTAAACTATGAGAGTCTCCATCTTGGAGCACATGGGGCACGTATCTGACCACCTACCATTTAAGTGTATCTGCTCCATCTTGGAGCACATGGTGCACGTATCTGACCACCTACCATTTAAGTGTATCTGACTGCCACCAGGTATGTGACCCATTAACCAGGGTCAGGGTCCTTTCCTGGCTCTTACCTTTCCCCCATCCCAGTGATAGTAACAATAACTAGCAGTGGCAGTGTGTATATTTGCTTGCAGTGCATCTGATCTCAGTGCTACACACTAACTCCCTGCCCCTCCCCCCTGTATAGGGGATGACTATAGGCTGATGCCAAATCAAATTCTGGTACTTACACTAGCTGCAGTTACAAAATGTATGTAAAGATTTATGAATATAGTGTATTTAATATCCAAGTGGAATCCAGCTTTGACAATAATGTTTTATATACGTAATTTAATTTTCTTCCGTCTTAAAGGCCAAGGTTACATTTTAAAGAAAATAGCCCATGCAGACAAGGGGTCCCAGGTAATAAGTGACTGTGCGGTTTGACCAACGTGGAATAATGTAACTGCAATAACTGTAGGCCTCCCCCTCCCAGAAGTCTGTCTGACAAAGCGGCCCCTAGCTGCGGGGGGAATCGGGTCGGGTCTTGCATGCATAGGCTATTTGACTTTGACGCTTCAGAATATCGACGCTGTTAATAAAGCACGCTAGGAAAAAAAATTAAAAAAACTGCTGTACGCTGATTTTCCGCGTCTGCGCAGAAACTCCTTATGAACGCACACCGTAAAGTGCGACTGCACTAAGCTCTGCTATAGCCTAGCGACAGCTGCGGGCGCGCCCTCGTGCCTTTGCGTCTTATCCCTGCTGTTTACCATTCTGCTGTGAGCGCGCACGCTTTTCTCTCCGGCTCCTCCCGTCGTTCCGTTTTGGCCTCTTCGTGCGCAGCTGCACTCTTCCTTCTTTTCGGTGCGCGCTCCCGGTGCAGGAGGGGGGTGAAGGCGAAATTGAATGAGGAGGAGGACGGAAACAACGACACAGCGGCGCAGCGGCCTTCTCCTCTGACACACACAGCGGGTATACCGCGATACCTTGTGCTACACGTACAGAGCGGCGCCGCGGCCCTGCTTTTGGAGAAGGGTGTGACTGTGTGTGTGTGTGACAGGAGGAGGTGACTGTGCCGTATTGTGTAGCTAGCTGTCCCGAGGGTGCTCGGGGAGGTGCTGCTGAATATGGAGGACAAGACGTTCACCAAAGAGCTGGACCAATGGATCGAGCAGCTCAATGACTGCAAGCAACTCAACGAGAGCCAAGTGCGCACCCTGTGCGAGAAGGTGAGCCTGCGGAACGCGTCTATATATTCCTGTGTCATGATTTCTGCTGAAAGTAATGCGGTCAGTGGGCTGGAAGAGGCACGCTGCGGTCACCTGGCCTGGGGGTCTGCTGGTGTCACATTCCGATCACAGGGACATTATTGTACTCTATAGCCTGCCCTATATTCGGAGGCATAGCTGTGACCATTTTATAGAGTCCTTATATAAGGCCCCTAGTCCATGATCTAATGCAGATATTATTTTAGATGTATAAGGGCCCTAGCCCCTCCGATCCCTCGCCTGCATCGGGGTCCCTAGCCCCTCCGATCCCTCGCCTGCATCGGGGTCCCTAGCCCCTCCGATCCCTCGCCTGCATCGGGGTCCCTAGCCCCTCCGATCCCTCGCCTGCATCGGGGTCCCTAGCCCCTCCGATCCCTCGCCTGCGTGTCGGCCCTGGTCGCCCCATCCCTCGCCTACGTAGTATATAAATGCCCTAGTCCCTAAAACTTGCGCATGTACGTGGGCCCTTTTCATTTTTAGCACCGTGATCCAGGGTTATCTGCTGTCAGGTGTAATTTATTTTGCTACAAATCTGAATTACATGGTTATAAGGATGTAATGTAATTAGGGATGCACTGATATCGGCATTTTGGTACAGAGTATGAGTACCGATAATTTTTTCCGGTACTCGCCGATACCAATTACTGAGTAACCGAAGTCCCATTCAGGAAGCCAGGTGGCGTATAAAGCCTCACCACCTGGCTTAGTGATTAGCCGGGCAGCGTGTAAAGACTCGCCACCCGGTTTCCCGATTACCAAGAAAGTGTGTCCCCTCATACCTCGTTATGTCCAGCCTGTCACCCCTGGGGGCCTCTTGAGCCAGAATGCGGCCTTCCTCCGGAACCGTCTGGCCGGCCAATCAGGAAGCCGGGCGCCATGTAATGACGAGGGAGCATGAAGCCAGCTTCCCGGCCAATCAGAATGCCGGGCGCTGCGTCATTACACGGCACCCGGCTTTCTGATTGGCTGGGAAGTCGGCTCCATGCTCTCATCAAAAGTGACGAGAGAGCAAGAATCCGCTTCCCGGCCAATCAGGAAACCAGGCAGCGTGTAATGACGCGCTGCCCGGCTTCCTGATACAGGAAGTACTCGTGCTAGGCATCGGAGCATTTGGGCTAGTACGAGTACTCGCTCAAATACTCTGTATCGGCACCGATATCGGTACTAGTATCGATGCATCCCTAGTTATAATTTAAAACTGCCTGCTCAGTGGTATTCATGGCAATGCATGCTGTGATTCTGCTGTATCTCTGTGCAGTATACTGCATATACTCTTAAGTACAGGAACTTTTGTGGATGCCATCTTTTCTTGTTAACCTGATGGCATAGGTCACCACAATGTGATGGGTTTATTTAGTGGCACACAGAGGTTTAAGGAAGGAACAGAGCTAAACATTTCAGATGTCCTTTTGTTTTATTACTACAAAACATATACATGTGGATGGGGGTCCATGTATGCCTAATAATAATCTAATATAAAAAAAAGCCAAATCGGGACTTAAATCTAATATCTGTAAAAATGCCTTTGTCCCAAACTGCAGATGTCCAGAAAATTACAACAAAATAGAATCATTAAGTAATATTTGTTTGATCAATAACAGCAAATAAGCCATGGCAGTTATGCTCGTGATAGAGGAAGCTGGTTTCTTATTCTGCATGTCCTCTCAGAGCTGTTGTATGTGGCTGGCACAAGCTGTTGCAGATCTTGGTTGCTAAGCAAAAGAAACACAAGAACTGATTCTAGTTAAAGAGATTCCTTCTGTCGTGTTGCTTGCATGGGTGATAGAAGATGAAAGAAATGATCAGAGTTTGATGTGCAACAAACACACTTCTCTTACTTTTCTTAAAGGGTAAACCCCAAATCTTTGTTTGGGATCATGCCTCCCTCTATACAGTTTTCCTAAACAAATAGTTTTTTGTGAATTTGTTGCAACATTTCTTACTGGGAGATTCCGCTACTAACGGCATGTCCTGCTTGAGGCTGTCAGTGTTGTGATCCTGGCATGTGCGCTCCTTCAGATGGATGGACGTAGGGCTGTCTCTCGGGTCGCATGGACAGCCCAGCAAACAACTGATGGAGCACACACGCCAGGATGACAATTCTGCTAATTGCACAGCAGTGGCTTAGCGTTGTCACCCTGCAACAAGAACTGCTGTTACTGATGGCATCTCCCACTAAGAAATGTTGCCACAGACAACTATACAGTGATGAATGATGCCAAATATGCTGAAAGATAGGTTTAAGGTTTGTGTACATTTTAACCACTTGCCATCCGGATCGATTTCTTAATGTTTGCACGTGCACACAGTTCAAATCTGATTTTTCGGGGGGGCTAGAAAACTGTTTAATACTTCCAAACAAATATATATTTTCTGAAAGCAGAGGCCCTAAAGAATAAAAAAAAATGCTGGTGAAGAGTTTGGAGAAGGCAGGAGAAGTGAACAATCTAGGACAACATAGCTGGTTTGGAACACGTGTGTGCCTTATGCACTCGTGCATGCCTTATGCAGATGGCGGGGTTGGTTTTAATTTAATTTTTTTACCTAACTTTATTGCTATTACACAGGGGATAACAAGCCCCTGTGTGACATTTGGAGGTGACAGGTCCTCTTTTTGGAAATATCTGGCGTCTTTTAGACCCCAGATGTCTCCTCTGCCCTTCAATGCAGGAGATCGAGCACAGCATTTTGCCTCATCCCCTGGGTAACCGGTATTTCAGCCGGCCTCTGACAGCTGTGACTCGGCAAGCACAGCACTTCCTGAGTCACTGCTCACAGAACGGTTGGGGAAACGGTTGTTCCCCAGTCTCCTCCCCGTCTCCATCCTTAGTCCTGGGTCCTCCAGAGGAGTGGGGAACCCCAAAATCTATGGCGAGGGGGCATCACTAATGCAGCACTGTACAGCCGCCCGGTTCACGTGTAGAAAATGAGAATCTCCTGCTGAATAAAACGTTACCAAGGTCATGGCTGCTGCTGTCCCAGGTTTTTATCACACTCTGGACTGCCCTCCTTGGGCCCAAATTTTGAGTTGTTACCAGAACAGTGGGGCAAATCTTCCAATGGGGACACTTTCTGTTCAGAGATGTTGGAGTGAATTTCCCCTTCTTCTGAGAGATCTCTACCTACTTTCATTTCTAGACAGGAAGTAAAGGAAATTCTTCTCATGGAGACATTCGCAAAAACAAAACACAGGGCCTTTTCTTCTTTATCCAATGAAAATGAAAGGTTGTGGCTTTAAATACACTTTACAAGACGCACACAATTTTGTATTTATTTGTTTTGGTACAGGGTAAAATAGAAAAAAGTGCTCTGGAGGTGGTAATTTGGGGTGTATCACAAATTGTCCTTTAGAAAACATTTAGCCAAACTATTGAAATAGAATCACTTTCTTAGGATGTTAGTGGATCAGCAAATGCTGGTTATTTAAGGTAAAACCCATGGCTATGCAAAATGTATATCAGCAACTGTCTGCCAGAGATTGTCACATAGTGGCCACCTCTACACAGTCCTCATGCTCTGTCACTGGAAACGGGAACTTGTACACTGTAATGACATCGTCTCTGACAACAGAGAACTAATGCTAAACCACTGTGTTTGGGGGGGGGAGGGGCAAGTTGGATGTAAATGCATGCTCACTCGGAGTTGTTAGTCACACTAAATCTTAAAAATACATTTAAGTACCATAACTATTTGAGTTTGCATGTTCTCCGCGTGCTTGCGTAGGATTCCTCCCACACTCCAAAGACATGCTGGAAGGTTAATTGGCTCCTGTCTAAATTGCCATGTATGTATGAATGTCCGAAAGGGACCTTAGATTGTAAGCTCTTTGAGGGCAGGGACTGATGTGAATGTGTAGTATGTAAAGCACTGTATAAATTGTCAGCATTATATAAATGCCTGTAATAAAAATGTATCCAGGGGTGTGGAATTTTTTTAAAAAAACGACTTGCCCAAGGGCTAAGCGGGGGCCTGGATCTACTTGTCCCTCATCACAATCTATTTGTCCCGATACAAGAAAATAGTTTTAATCAAAACCGTACTGTGCTAAGCACTTCTCATTGGTCAGGTGACAGAGTGCTTGCAATTTGTGAGCGAAATTCAAAATGCATAGCGCAGGGCTGCGGTGGACAGCAGTACGGCGAACAGATAATACACCCGTACTGACGGTGAAAAAGGACTACGCGTGCGTTTTATTAAATATTTTATTTTTTAACTTTTTCATAACTTTTTTGTTCACCTAATTTTATTCCTATCACACAGGTGCTTACAAGCTTATAGGGGCTTATAGCTTGGAGGTGACAGGTTCTCTTTATAGAACCTGCCCTCCAACAAAGAACAGTGATTACAGCGCTCTAGCCTCACTAATCACGCAGAGCGAAGAACATCCCCACTCAACATCCTGACAGACAGGCTGGTACAAGTGACCTGATCAGATCGCTTGTATAAAACATGTAACTGCTCCCCGCTCTACATTTAGCTTTGCTTGCCTGAAGCAGGGCTAAATGTACAAAAACTACCCGCCTGGAACTCCATGTCCTGGGTGTTGGGCGATAGGTATTCCACACCCCTGGTATCTTATTTGTGTATCACTCAGCTGTAGATCATCATCAAATTTTGTTCTCCATAGTTTTGTGTGTTGTAAAGTAGCCACCGCTCCAAGCTCACTCCCATGATGCACTTCAATCTCAGTACAAATGAATAATCTAAAAGTGAGATTGTAGTCCATCACGGGAGTGAGCTTGGAGTGGCGGCTACTTTACAACACCCACAGGCACCATGAGCAACAAAAGTAGCCCCCGTCCAGAAGGAAGGACGGTGTCCGCATGCATTCAGAGATGATTTGAGGATCTACAGCTGAGTGATACACAAATAAGATACATTTTTTGTTTTAAAAAAAAGCAAAAACACTGCTTACAACTACATCACACTGCAGGTAACATAAAATGAGAGTTTAGTAACCTAAAGACATTGCTGGGGATACCTGTAATTTAACCTCAAGCTCTGAGAGAGGCAGTGGCCTACAGGAGTGGTGCTGAAGAATCTTGCCAACCTTTTGAGTACTACTGTCAGGGTTGCCAACAAGGTAAGTGTAAATTTTAATATTTTTGGTTTGAGGCAAATAGAAATAGTAATCTTCAATATTAAATTCTAAAATTGTTTATGTAGCATATGTTTTTGTTACTCCTGTGACACCAGGTTTGTTGAATTCATACAGGGGTGCTGTCGGGAGGTGGGTTTCTGTTGATGTAGGCATCTCCCCCAGAACTAAATCTCCCAAGAACCCTTTCCCCCTCCCCCATACCCAGTGAATGGGAATGATCTTGGCAGTCAAGGCAGCAGAATTGTTTTGCCAGGAAAGGATATAATGTATGCATGTGGTCAGCAATGCCCCTGAACACACATCTAAAGCTATACTGGAATAGTTTTAATATCTGTCTGTCCTAGAATGGTTCAGACAGTTTGAGAATTGCTGTTCTCCAATGGTCTCCATCCTATTGATCATTGAATTGTTGAAACAAATTTACCTAGAAAAATCCATTGCAGATGTGTAAGTAACAACCTTTTACCAGACAGGAAGTGAGGGGAGCTCTCCTACTGCAATGCACACAGAAATAGGAATACTTTTCTTTAGTAGAATGGGGATAGCTAGGTACTTTGACTAAATTTTTCCTTACTTCCTGTCTGTTGAAAGGGTAGTCGCAGGATGTGAAGTAAGGAGAAATTTCCCTAATGGAACCTGGATAGCAGAAGAAACCCAACAGGAGTTCTAATCCATCCCACGCTATCCAAGTTTGTGACTTGACATACACTTTAAAGGCTTTTTGTTCTATAAGCCATGCAGCCTATTTTGATTTGGATTTCAGGAAAGCAGTCATTACTTGACTCATATGCTAAATACTAGGGCAGTCAGACCAAACCTTTATTGAGTCACTTCAATGGAATAATTACTTTTAGGAACTTGAATCCGTGGATAGCTGCTTCAATAAAAGCCTATTCACACAGGTCTTGTACCTCATGGCATGTTCTTTCATTCAGTTCAGTCTGTTATTCACATAGCGTGCCACAGTGTAGCCAGATGACATGTAGCTGGCTTATACTATGAATGAAGATCATCTCTCCTGAAAGCCTGCCTACACGCACACACCTTCCCTTTGCCAGTGCCTAGGCAACGGAGCCCAATTCACTGGAAGAACTGGTGCTTTCTCTGATTTAGCAATTATTATAATAATTGCCCCCCACACTACCAGGGTAACTGCTTGTTTTGGTCTAGGGAGGAAAATAAAGTTATACTCGCTGATCCTTGGAGCTGGCCAGCTGTGATGGCGCTCCCTCAGGCCTGTCTCCTCCTAAACTGAAGCGATGCCATGTCCCTCAGTGTCCTCATGTTCTATATACTGTGTATAGAACATGTTGGTAGCCCCACTTCGAGGGTTAATAATTTTCCCTGGAGTTCTTCTTTGAGACCCCAGTTTAGAGCTTATTGTTTTCCAGTGACTAGGCCTGTGCTGCCCTTTTGGCTTTGATTTACATTTAAATCCAATTAGACATTTAAATCCATTCTAATGGCCTATTGGCAGCCTATTATAGTCAATGGGAGAACGGGCATATGTGCAGAAATGCAAAAAAGCTTCAGGAGGAGGGATTCAGAGGCTGGAACCTTATGGTAACCCATGTGTTTTACCACGCATTACTGCAACAGGTGTAAACGGGCCTTTTTGTCTTCATTCCATGTCATTTAACAGTCTCTGTAACTGAAGCTCAGATTATTAAATGATGGGGTATTAGGGCTTAAGCCCTCATTCACACTGAGCAGTTTGTAGCGCTTTTTTTGTGCCTGAAACAAAAGATAAAAAATGCACCAAAAACCCCCCATTCATTTCTATGGCCCTGTTCACATCTAAGCGTATTGTCGCTTGAAGAAAGTACGTGAGCTTCTTTTTGGCAGGTCCTGCGCTTCTTGGCCCATAGACTCCAATGGAAATGCTCATAAACTTGTGTTTGCTGCGGTTTTGTGCATTTCTGCACATTTTAACGGGCACTTGCCCAATTACATCAATGTGTCAAGATCTGCTCGCAAAAACTGGGGACTTTGTGTTCGCGCATGAAATGTGCATATAAATGTGCAAAAATGTGCTGAAAACGTGTATGCTTCATGTTGCTGAGGTGTGAATGCCGGCTTATCTGCCTTATTCTACCAAAATATCTGCTTCACATTTTGCCTGATCTTTTGGGTACCTGATTCAGCGGAGGACATAAAGTGACTTTGTACATTTTGCCAATTTGAGGCAAGGCATCAGGATTATTTTAATGCAGACCTCATTCTTGTCTGGCTGCTGCTCTCCCGCCCCTCTCTTCACCCAGCAGGAGTGAACACAGAGCCCTGTGTAAGCAAGGAGTTGTACCAGAGTCGTAGCTCATACAGAGCTATTGACTGATCTGTGACAGCGCTGACTGGTGCAGCATTATCACATGTTTTATATCTGGAAGTACTGGATTTTTCCTGTGTCTCCTAGCACCTAACAGCCGTGGGAAGTGAATGGGAAGTATATGTTCCTGAGGATGGGGGAGTATTTAAAGTGTAAGTATGAAAGGAAAAAAATGCTGGGAGGGTAGGGATTTGGGGTAGTAGAGACTTGTAAGAGGACACAGAAAGGTTAGAAGAGGGGGTTCAATCTTACACTGGGAAAGGGGCTTTTTATACTGTGCGCATAGTAAAAATGTGGAATTCCCTTCCACAGGCAACGGTATCCTCTGAAAGTATTGATAAATTCAAGAAACTTTTAGATGAGTTTCTTCTTTCACTTCATATACAAGGATATGGGAAGGGTTATACAGACAGACACACACATAGGTTGAACTAGATGGACCCTTGTCATTATTCAACCTCACCTACTATGTTAAGGTATCGTCTGCCAAAATAATTCTCCCTCTTTCCCACTGCGATCTTTCTTTCTTCTTTATTTTTGTACACTTTACAGTGCAGGCACCATACAGTATACACACTCATCCCGTTCTTGGCATGAATGGGCCAAATACACCTGGACATGTGCTGAATTTTGCAGATCTTTCAACAGGCTTCTCTCCAATGCAATGGAGTTCAGTGGTAAGAGCAGCTGGGCAGGTAAGTAATCGGGTGTTTGCAGGGTACAATTGTATAGTTTAAAAAGTTGCTTTGAGTGCAGTTTTTGTAAGTAGCTTTTTATCTTGATATCAGACTCTTGCAGTCCTCTATACTGCAGCACAGAAACTCGGACAGGCAGTGGTAGGACTGTGAGAAAATTAGGTGTGCTGTATGCAAAAGTACTCGCACGCAGCATGCTGATAGGAGGAGAGAGCCTAAAGAGCAGAGGGATGAACTCATCAGTCTACTTGTGCTCTTTTACTGTCCAGTAGGTTAGAGAGAGGACGCCACTCTATTTCTTATAGGTAAAACGGTTGCCTTATATCCATTTAAAGTGACACTAAACTCAGATGTTGAATCTAAAAAATACATTCAAGTATCTTTTTAACTATTAAAAAACATGTACATTGTGTATCACTCAGCTGTAGATCCTCAGATCATCTCTGAATTGGTGCCGACACTGTCCTTCCTTCTGGAGGGTGGCTACTTTTCTTCCCCATGGACCCTGTGTGTATTGTAAAGTAGCCACTGCACCAGGCTACTGTGATGGACTACAGTCTCTAGTGAGATTGTAGTCCATCACAGTAGTGAGCTTGGAGCCTGCAGTTAGTTTTACTGCAAACTTATTGACTACAGACTTCTCTCTCTATTTATTGCTTTTCTGTTGACAGAGCAGTGTTGTCAGTTTAGAAAGTTGTATGCCGTTTTTAGTTATAGTGTGTGTCAGACATTGTGTAGGTTGTCGGTTCAATGAGCACCATAGCCATCCATATGGCATATAGTAAAGAGGAGTTGAAAAGACCTCAAAATCCATTTTGTTGCAAGCCTTACAAGGTTTTATAACGGATATAAAACATATTTTGGTACAATTCATTGCCATGTTAGTATTTCAGATTATTAGCTTGGCTTTCCTTTAAAGTGGACCTGAACTCAAGAAGTGTTGATTTGTTATGTTATAGGGAAAATGTAGACATGCAGCAGCACTGTGTACTTTTGTAAAATGTACTTTGTTTTGATTTCCTCCTGGAAAATAGCAGTGCCCTTCCTATGTCTACAGATATAATAAATCTCATCTCAAATATTCAATATAACCAGTCAAGAGACTAGGACTTAGCCATACTGAACCCCCCAAAAATGAGCAATGTGATTGGGTCAAGCATCACATTTAACAGTTTGATAAGGTAGGGGTGTTGCAATGAGCGCTTCTGATCTTTAGAAGTGATCATTACCACATGGAGATTCTCAAATTTTGGAAAATCTTTGACTTTTCTTTTCTGTGCAGAGACAGGAATGATGGTTTGCCACACAAAATAATCAATCTCTGTCTCTCAGTCCATCCATCTATCATGCTCTGGCAAGC